AACGCTTCTTCGCTCACGCGGAATCGCTGCAGGTGAGGATTAGAATTTTAGAACCTAAAGGCTTTGGCTAGGGCCTTGGGGTATAGTCATTGAGCCTTTCTGAGGAGGAGTTAAGTGGCTCCACGAATTGGGATTTGGGGTCCAGGGTTTAGCATTTTGGGTCTGCATGCTTGCAGAGTCTTATGGCTAACCTCAAGGAAAATTCGGGCGACTGCAGTCTGTGTCGAAAAACCCTAGAGAGCCTGCAACGGGCTTGTCCCCTTTCTCTTGTTGTTGCTTTTAAAGCCATTCGAGACAGAGAGCATGCAACAGCAGCAGCTGAAGCGACAGCCACAGCAGCGAATGCAGCAGAAGCTAAGGCTGCTTCTGAGGCAGTTCAAGGAGATCCAGCAGCAAGACCGGAGGAGAAGCAGAAACACCAGCAGCAGCGGGAGATTCAGAAGCGGCAGCGGTTGCAGCTGCTTCAGGATGCCCTGGAAATTGAGTTGGTATTAATGTGCAACATGACGGCGGTCTCCAATTCGAATTTTGTTGAAGGCGTAAGGGCACTTCTCGTCGACAAGGACAAAAAGCCCAAATGGTCAGCTAACCTTTAGTTTTAGTCCACAAACTGACCAGGCTAGGAATCACTCCTTTGCATATACACCGAAGCAGGAGGCCTACTCCATAAGCAAACAACAGAAGCGAGAATCAGGTATAGCTCAAGTTCTTTGAAGAGCTGCCGGTCTACTATCCGAATTGCTCCCTGCTGTTTGGAGTGTTCAGGCAACCCAGCTGCGTGTCGGGGGTCAGCCAAGCTGCGGTGACTGCGCTTTTCAAATGGGAAGGGCAGCGGTCCTTGGCGCGCCTTTGAGGGCCCCTATAAGGAAGGATAGCAGAATGCTGACTTCCCGTTTTTCCGTGTAAATCCTGCTTTTATTTTCTCCCTGTTGCTCGCCTCCATACGAACCCTGCGGCAACGGCTTCTTGTTGAGTAACTAGCAGCAGCCGCAGCATGGCAGTAGCCGCTGCAACGCCAATTACTGTTTGCCACCGCTGCATAGTTATAGCAGAGCTTCCCTGCTGCGCAGATACGTATAAGCGTACAGTACAGCGAACTGGATTTGAAAATGATTATTTTGCCTGTATTCGTTGCTGCTCCTGCCCTTGGGTGTTGATGGCATAATCATCTGGCATTTGGAGTTTACCTTTACCTACACCGCTGCACTTGTTGCTGCAGCATCCCGTTCCTGCTGGGTTTGATGCCAAAGCGGGCGCCCCCTGCAGGGCATTAAAGTTTTGCTGCAGTTTTATGCAGAAGCAGCGGCAGGAACTGGGCCAGCAGCAGCGCCCACCGTACAGGTAAGCAGAGAAAAAGCCCCAAGCCGCGGCAGCTACATGTTTAGAGTTACGAAATCAGCAGACAAGAACAGCAAAATGCAAGGCAGCAACGGAGGCAGTGAGCGGGGAGGCTGTTGCAACGGCGGACGCAAAAACATCTAAAACCGCATAATGCTGAAACAAGAGCACTATGGAGCCTTGTTTCTACATGCTGAAATTTGAGAGACTGGTTGGAAGGTTTATAGCCAAATCCTCTAGTTACACCATTCTAGTCTTCGAGCAGTCGCCTCGAGCTTGAACTGTGGACTTTTAACTGAGAAACACGAAATTCGCTTATTTCCAACCCTAAACTAGACCCATTTCACAAATTTTTTCCCTAAAGATACACCTGTGCGATGGACTTAATTGGTGCACTCAGAGGGGCTGTCGATGCTTGACTCTTCACCGCGTAGCTGGGGGCCCCTCTTGAGGCCCCCCAACTGCCCACTTACGGTGTCCTGTGCTTTCCCCCATCGGCCCTTTAAAAAATAAACAGATCTCCTAGTGGCGGACGCTGAAATTACGGGAACCTGACGAATTTGCAGGGCAGCGTAGCGAATGAGTTATAGGGGCTGGTTTGCAGGACCCACGGTTTAGCATTACAGCCCTGAGCATGTGTTTAATGGTGTGGCAAGGCATATGCCGTTAAAAGAGCTGAGGCAGGGAGGAGTAGCGTGCAAGCGGACCTCAAATGCAGCAGCGGGGGCTGCTAGCGCTGCTGCTGCTTCTGCTGCTCTTAGAGCCATGTCCTGGTGCAGCGGTCGACTTAAATTTCCGCTGTATCTGCCGCAAAAACGTGTATCTAGCTCAAGCTTTCACAGATCAGGGACTTGCATCATTCCATTTTTTATTTCCCCGGCAACCGTGGAGAGGCCTTGCTGATGCAGCTCGAGGGCGCCGGCTCTCTTGCCAAGCGCTGCACGCGAAGCACAAACAAAGTGGAACTAAGCTGAAGCGGAATTCCGAAAGTAATAACACGAAAACATCCTCCAAAAGAATCCCCGAGGGCCCTAAGAAGGGTTGCGCTGGGGAAAAAGTACGGGACTGTCTAATGGAGGGATCTGTGGGTGACCCTTATGGGAGCCTCTGGAATCTGGGAACCCCATGGACTCCGAACGGCGGACAGGGGGTCGAAGAAAAGCCTGCACTTGGCGTGCCTATAGCTGTTGTGGTTTCCCAGAGCAGTGGCAGGAGCAGCGACACAAGCAAATCCGAGCACATACTGAGGACTGGGAACTACAGCTGCCTCCAGCCGTCTTTCTTGGGGTCATTCCTTCTGCCTGCAGAGCCGAGTGGGCAGAATCGTAGTGAGGACGACCCAGACGCTAGCAGCTGCAGCGGATTAGACCGTCATTCGCAGCAGCAGCAGCAACAGCAGAAACAACAACGCTCTGAGGGTGCGGTCCGTGAGTCCTTCGTTCCCTATGACGCCGCTGGTACCCCTGCAGCTGGCAGCGGTGAGGAAGGGGAAGAAAACGCCTGTGCTGCAGGCGACGCAGCTCGAGCAACGCTGAGGGATCGGCTGCTGCAGCAGCTGCTGCAGGGAGTGCTACAGCAGCAGCGGCTCCCCGAGATTGCCGTCGCCGGTCGCAGCAACGTAGGAAAGTCTTCACTTGTAAACGCCTTTTTCAAACTTTGTAGCAAGAGCAACAGCGGCAAGCTCCCGCAAGCCCGTTCTTCCCGCACCCCAGGCCGCACTCAGACTATCGACTTCTACCTCTTCAGCGTTGCAGCCGCATCTAGCTCGCATCAGCGCAAGCAACAGCATCAACGTAAGCAGCAGCAGCAGAGCAGAAGCAAAGAACAACAGCTGCTGCAGCGCGGAGCCTTCGTTCTCGCAGACCTTCCCGGGTATGGATACACTGAGGGGATCTCCCCGCAGAGGACGCGCCAGATCTCACGCACTCTCGAGGTGTATGTGCAGCGCAAACAGCAGCAGCAGCAGCAGCTGCAGCAGATGCTGCTGCTGGTGGATGGGAGGAGAGGCATGGGGCCGCACGATGCGGCGCTGATGCGGCTGCTTCTGCAGCATCAAATTCGCACAACAGTTGTCGTGACAAAAGAAGACAGGCTCGGCGCCCCGGAGATTATGGTTGGTTGCTGGCGCTATTGTTGCTGCTCTTGCTCCTGCCACTTTGTCCAGTCTATCGCCAGGCTGACTAATCTGCTGCCAGATTTGTTGCTCTTGCTGCTTCAGACGTTTCTATTGTTTGTGCTGCAGCTTATGCTGGTGCATCGACAAGGAAATTGTGGGTTTTTTTGCACAGGAGTTGGTGGAAAATCTATCGGGTTTTAAGCAGCTCATGCTACCTCCTTATCTGCTGCAGTTGAGGCTGAAGCTGCTGCTAGAACAGCAAAAAAGCGCCAGCAACATGAGCGATAGTGAAGACACCAACGACTGCAGCAGTGACTGCGGCAGCAAGGGTGTCTATGGCCTTTTCACATCACATACCTCAGCACTAGGACAGCAAGCGCAGCAGCGAGAACAGCGGCAGCCGAGAAATCAAGTTCCAGTCTTCCTCGTTTCTGCCCGCACGGGCTCAGGCATTAAGCAGCTCTGGCAGCATGTCTTGAAGACAGCAGCCATGGGTCCTCTAAGGCCAACTCCAAAGGCAGCGGCAGCACCAGAAGCAGCAGCTGAGCCCGCGGGGGAGGACCCAGTCTCGGCAAACAAGCGCACACATAAGTCGAGGAAAATGGCGCTTCTCCTGGCAGGCCCAAGCGAAATGCCAGATGACTGTTTCTAGCGCTGCAAGAGAAGGCCGCCTTAGGCGCTGCTGGTGGGCCTGCTGTTGGTGCTCCTATTGTTGCGGCAGCAGCAACAGCGTCGTTGCTGCGGCAGCGAAGCTTCTTAGCACGAACACGTACTGCCCGGGGCAGAGCACAACATCCGAGCTGGAGGTATTTTTTGTGCGTTTTTTCGGTCGGCTTAAACTGCAGAAGTGTAATTGGTGCTGCTGCCGTATCGGCGACTCTATTGTGTTTCTTTGCCTCCCTTGTGACCATTTATGCATGCTGCTCTTTACGAAGGGTCTACGAGTTTTGCGTCGGGTGCTGCTGCTGCTGCTGTGAATGAGCGTGCTTCGGAGTGGTGTGTAGCTGCTTGGACAAACATGCGGGCAACTGGATCACTTTTATCCCTTTCTTCTTGTTTCTTTTTGGCGGCTCATGGTGTCTTCTTGGCTATCTTTTTCGTACTTTATTTGTCTCGCTGCTAGGCTGTTTGTTAAGGAGACAAAGTAACAGTTGAATGGTGGAGTTTTGTACAAACAGGAGAACATCGGACGGACGTAGAAGACATGTCTAAAGACAGAAAATGAGGCAGAAAAGCTTACACAGATATAAACAGAGAGAAGGAAAAATCTGAAGGAGGCGGTTGAAATGAGAATCACACAAAAGAAGGCAGAAAGCGAGACACTTTCAAATTAAATATCTGTCAATCAACAGCAGAATCCGTGTTCTTAAGCTTGAGGCGTTCTACATCAGACCAATTAATGCTCCGCTGCTAGATTTTGCCGCTGCCGCAATTGTTTGTCGGGATGCAGTCAACGAGAGAGATTTGAAGACCGCGATTTGTACTGAGGCTTCTAGACGATCTAACTGCCGGCTTTCACAGGCAATTTAAGGCTGTAGGGACCGCTCTATTCGGCTCGCTTTTGCTGCCGCTCTTGCTGCAGCTGCTTTACAACCGCTTCTTGGTCATTTTGTTGCATTTGTTGGTACCTTTGGAATGTCATGGTGAACTCGCCTTGTCCCTGCGTCTGCGCCCTGAGGTCCGAAATAAAGCCAAACATGAATCGCAGAGGAACCTCAGCAGACACCACAGCTGTTTCCCCTTCCAATGTACAGTCCGACACGCTGCCTTGCCTCCGGTTCAGCAGCCCCAAGGCACTCGCTTGCATCTCGCGGGGTACAGAGACCTCTACCGACATCAAGGGCTCCAGAACAACTGGCAGCGAATCCTCATAGAAGGTACTGATGCACAAAACAAGAGATGCACATGACATACGCAAAGAGTATGGAAATCGTCCTTAAGTCTCGTCCTCCTTTCGTGTCCCTTTCATAGTTAGAAGAGGGCAAAAGCCCGCCTATTGCCCTTGCTACTAATTGCTCCTCTGTTTTTGTTTGCCTACTGTGTGTTCACTAGCCTTAGTCTCTCCTCCTGTAGACTGGTCCTGTGTTCTTTCTGTCCCCGTGTTTGTCTCAGCCCCCTTCTTTCTGAAGGTCTCCGTCCCTATCACACCCAGCAGCTATAGTCCCCAGGAACTGCGCCTGTTCTCACCGTAGGGCGCCTGCAGCTGCCAGGCGAAAGGCAATGTCGCTTGAATCCACGTCGTGGGCTTTGCCCCCCAACAGCACAAACCGGGTGTTCACCATTGGGGCCCCTGTCAGGGGTCCGCGTTGCGCTGCTTCCAGAAAACCCTTCTCTATAGAAGCAATGAAATTTGGAGGAATGTCGTTTCCTACCTGAGACAAAGCCACGAGAAGCTCTGCAAATTCTAACGCTTGAGTACTGATTGCTCACCAGATGCCCCTGTGATCAGGCCCACACAAGGGCGAAGGAAAAGTTCATAAAACTCGCTTGTAGGCAGTAGAAGCTAGGGTGCACGATTTACAAGCTGGTTAGTGAAAACGTTGGGTGTGTTCCCATCTATGTCTTCTCCTTGTTCGATAGGCTCAAAATAGCCAATGACCCTGCCGAACTGCCCCGCGCCTCCACTTTGTTTCTTGTGGGTGTAGTCAAAGAGCGCTTTCTGGGTCGGCATTTCTCTGTAGTTCACTTTTGGTTGGCCAGACGTCACTTGCAAACGGTACTCTCGGTGCATACGCTCTAAGTATATCTGTAAATGCAGCTCCCCCATTCCCGAGATCACTGTTTCCTTCGACTCAGGGTCTGTTCCAACTCTGCATTTTGACGCACAAATTCCAAGCCCTTTGACTCCATGACTTGCAAGCCCTAGAAAGCGAGTTGCAACTCAAATGATAGCAGATGGTACAGGAGTTCAGGGGAACAGACACAAATGTAAGCGCCGGAAAGTTAATGGCAGACACTGCGCCATGTGGTTGCAGGAGGCAAAATCAGCTTCTGTGGTCTACGGCTCATGCTTTTAAGCTTGCAGTGTACTCCTGAAGCCCTTATTTCCTCGACAATTTTGCGAATTACACACTGGGCTTAATCTGGGGTGTAAAGCTGAAACTTTGGATTCACGATTTCAGACCTGAAGGTCGGATCTTCCCTTTGGAACCTGTTAAGGGCCTTGGCGAACTTGGGCTGGTCGTCTTTCCGGTTCACACGGACGGCGAGAGAGACCACTGGCTCAGCAACGTACATCGAGCTGAGGGCAAGCTGGCAGCGTCCGTCGGTGAGGGTCACTCCAGAGTGACACTGCAGGCCTCCCACAGCTATTATGTCTCCCGCCTCAGCCCGCTGTACCTCTCTCGCCTCGTCTGCATGCATCAACAGCAGCCGTTTCACCTGCTGCTTTTTAGAGGTGCTCAAATTCAACACAGAGTCGCCGCGCCGAAGCGAGCCCTGGTACAGCCGCAAGTACGTTAGCTGGCCCACAGGCAGTTCCTAAGTCACAAACACCAAAATTCAGATGCTTTACCTTACACGCAAAACTGTGAGGGTGCCGATGGCCAAAAGTTTTATAGGGAACCCAACCTGCTGCTGGCACAGTTTTGCGTTTACGTTTTAAGGTTTATGTGCCGCTTTTACTTGGATCTTGAAGGCCATTGCGACTAACGGCTTCTTGGGGTCACAGGAGAGGGACACTTCTGCTCCGTCATTTTCCATGTCTTTCGCCACTTGAACGCGGTCCTCTGAAAACCAAAAGACCAAGATTTTTAAAACCTAGGCCGTAAATTTTAAATATTCGAGCGGAAGCCTCACATCGCTCCGGAGGAGCTGAGGCACTCAAAGAGGCTATCCAGACTCTTCAGCTGCCGCATAGAGCTTAGTGTGATCCGCCAAAGAGCGCTCAAGCTCCGCATCTTTGCGTTTACAGTTAAGCTTGTGGGAATCACGGTTTACGTGGTGCGGGAAGGTAGCGACAGACAGCGTCCAGGAGTGGTTGTACTCCCTTGTTGCCTTTCGCCGAGCCCATGAGAAGGGGAGCAAATGTATGATTGAGGGTGCATCTTCTAATTGCATTGTGTATTTGTTCTGGAGGAATCTTATCCTCAAGCTGTATGTACGACTCCGCCAGTTGCTCGTCCAAATCAGCGAGGGCTTCTATGAGCTGATTCCGCCGCATTTTTGCCTCCTCCAACAAGCTGTTGGGCACTTCAGAAGAGCGTTCGACTTCTTCTCCGTTTTCTCCCTTAAAATATATCGATTCCAAAGACACTAAATCCACCACACCTCGGTGATTGCTTTCGAGTCCAATTGGAATCTGTTCAAAGAGTAGACGCCAAGCAGTATGCAGAAAATACTTTCGACAAGCTGTAGGACTGCACTGAAGACCGTGACACACCAGCGGCCTAAATCGAGCGTGTGCATAAGAAGGCCTTCTGCTAAGCTACGTTATTTTATCAGCCTCAAGTGTACAGCTCAAGTTTACTTGAATGGGACAGGCGTTTATGCCCAGTTGTCTGCGAATGCCCGCCAGTGCTCTCCAAGGATCGGCTCCGTCGCGGTCCAGTTTGTTTACGAACACCAGCCGGGGAACCCCATAACTGTAAACAAACCCCTTCAAACACACGCCAAAGAACTGAACATTAAGCCCTTGACCGTGGCTTGCGAATCAATAGCCTGGGCTGTACACAAATTCCCGTCATACAGCCTCGACATTTGGCGAAGCCGCGAGCTCTTGAATTTGCGGTTTTCAGTTGAGAACTTTGTTATTGCTGTTGTCGCGAGGCCTACGGCATAGGGCTCAGGTCAAACATTTACCGCTTCATTTGTCTATCAACAGTCAGGGTTTGGCTTTGCACACCAGCAACCCCACAAACCACAAGGATCGCGCCATCCAAAACCCGCAAGGCTCTCTCCACCTCAACTGTGAAGTCTACATGTCCAGGCGTGTCAATTAAATTCAAGGTGTAGGATCCCCCAGGGGGCCCCTCAGGTGGCCCTTTGGGCAGCTCCCAGGTGCAGTAGCTCGCAGCAGACTGAATTGTTATTCCTACAGGCAAGCCATACACTCTTGTCGCGGATTTAATGGACACTAAAGCTACAGGCTCCTTCAAAGAAAACAGGATGGCAATGGCACGCTCATTGTAACCAGGCTTGAGATCAAATGCTTAGAATCTGTATTAAAGGGCTGAAGTACAATCGAAGCTCTTGCAAAGGACCTTTCCGTTTTGACCAGAGAGTAGGAAACTTATTTGTTTATAGCACAAAGCCTCAGGCTTGGAGCTTAGCTCTGGTCCTGAGATTTACCCTACCGCGTGGAAAAAATGCAGTCCTAAGAGTTAGGTGTAGGTTTCAGGGCTCAATGAGGATGTTAGAGTTCACCTTTTTCTCTTTCCAGTTCCATAGAGTCCATTTTCGCCCCTACGCCGTCGGACCCCCGCACCTCGTGAATTTCCGCTATACGACCTACACTCAGAATTCAAACCAAACCAGAAACTCTGATTACCAAGCCCTAAACCTTAAAGCCCAATCCGTAGGCCCGTGAATCAGTGCGGGCACCAGGCGCAAGACCAAGCGCTGAGCTGTCGCCTCTCTCTTTCCGTCACATGTGCAAGATATTCTGCGCCATCAGAAGACCTAAAATCTGTATTTCAGCGCTATACACGTCGTTCAAAACCTCATGGCTTGCCTGTGAAAAAGAGAATGCGCTCAGTCAGAGTTGTCTTGCCACTGTCAATATGAGCGCTTATTCCGATGTTGCGTGTTCGGCATTTGCTTGACTCTGTTACATCCCCATGGGAGCTCTCAGATGCCATCGAGAAACAGCGAGTTGTGAAGAATTCCTGTGGCCACTTTGCGGCTACTGCTGAGGGTGCTGCGAACAGTGAAGGGCTCCCGTGCCAACAGGCTGCACCTTGGCGGGAACCAACGGCCGTCCACCGAGTTAAGCGCGAAAGGAGAGAGACTCCATCAGCTGTTTTGGGGTGCCTCGGCCCAAAGAGCAACTGTCCACCGGCGCGAAAGACCGAGAGGTTCATTGTCGGGGTTAAGGGTTGAAGCTTTAGGGCTTAATGCGGGGACCCTCCCCAGCGCTCTCTGAGTATTCTGGAGAGCGCGTTAGAGCTCCAGTCATCTGTAAACTGCCATGTAGCGCATACGGTTATGTTAAGCCGTCAACCAAGAGTCTGAAACTCAATGCCCTGCTCTCCCTGTCTTGCAAGGCCTAGGGCGCTGAAATTCAAGACGATTGGAGGCAATTCCCCTGATAAATACGATTTATGATATAAACATATAAAGAAAATGAAAAAATCATTGTTTCGCTGCGGATGTGCATGGTACGGCGCTCTGCGTGGGCCCCCGTGGGACCCCATCGTCGGTTCCAAATTCGATCAAGGGCGCCTTCTCTAACAGGGCGCAAGGAGGAATTGCTAATGATGGTGTACTGCAATATTGTTCCAATGATATTCTTCAGGGACTTTGGCACGGGGCAGTACGACTACCGTCTAGGGATCTGGGCTGGAACCTATCCACGTATCGATGTCCACGAAGAGATCCAGCTCCTTGGGAGCCTCTAGATGAAATTTCACTGCCTTTACAGATATATTTGGCTTGCTTATGTAATCGAGCGTCTTCAGGGCACCAGGAGCTATCCTTGTAACGTCTAGACGAAGTTCCATTGTCTTTGGAGACCATTGTAACTTGCTTGTATACTGTTTCCTGACCCCGGCTAGCCCTTGCAGTTCAGGTCCACTGGCTATGGACAACGAAAGATACTGTTGGGGCTTCTGTGCCCTTTTCCGGCAACAGACATGTCTCTGAACCACATTTGCACTCATTTTCTGCCTGCTCGCTGCGTTGAATTCTCTTTCTAGTGTCTGCTGGTATTTGCCTGCAAATTCGGATCACGCCGTCAGGATTGCCTTTGCCGCTGCTTCTGGCAAATGGCTGAGGCGTACAGGCATGCTGCTGCGGTTCTGCAGCTGATGGACAGCCAGAGAATCGGACTGAGAGATGCTCTTTATGGAGCGGCCAGACCGCCTCAGAAGACCCTATCTAGGGTAGGCATCTACTCCTGTTCCTACTGATGAGGCCGATTCTGAGTGCGACCTATGTTGGTTTTGCCTCTGCTTCCTCTGCTTCCTCTGCTCAGGTTTACGCACTCCTTTCAAAGACACTAGCAGTGCGGCAGCTGCTGCAGCAGCTGTTGTGTCAGGTCGGCCTTGTAGATTTTTCGATAGCTGCAGCACCAAAATCAGCAAAGGGGAAAGCAGCAGCGATACAAACAACAGGAAGTAGAGACTATTTGCTGCTACTGATGCTGCGTGACTTGCTGCTATCTCCAAAAGGAATAGAGGGAGGGGGCCAACTGAAGCGGTTGCTTCTGGAGCACGAGTCTCATCTGCGGTCGCTGTACTCTGCAGCAGTAGCAGATTCAACGGAACATGAAGCATTGGCAGCAGCAGCAGCAGCCACGATTCCTAGATATCTGCGGGTAAACTTGCGAGTGTGGGACGCAGAAGCAGCAGCAAACTTCCTTAAGGCTAGGCTTCCTCGCTCACTTTGGGCCGTCACAGATCCTCTTCAGCCCTGTGTTATTGCTCTCCCTGCTGCCGCTGCACGACTACTTAAATCGAATGAGCAGCAGCACCAACAGCAGCGAATGCTGCCACGGGAATCACCCGAAACTGAAAACACAGAGGAAGGAGCGGCGGAGCTGCAGCTTCCTTTCGAACAGCAGCAGCTTCCAGAGCAACCGCAGCAACAGGAGCCTCTCCTGCTTCATCAACTCGTGCCAAGAGGTTTTGTTTCCCTTCAAGACAGAGCCAGCTGCACTGCAGCTGCCGCTGCTGCAGTAGCAGAGGGTGACATCGTTCTTGAGGGATGCGCCGCTCCGGGAAGCAAGACAATGCACATCCTCGGTACTTCTGGTCATTTTGTTGCTGCCTTTGTTGTCCTTAATTGCATGTGCTGCTTTCCATATTTTTCTGCGCCCTTTCTTGTGTACGTACGCCGTACTCATTTGGATCAACAGGAAAATATGTGCTGATACATTTCTTTATGCATTTGGACCCAGCGAAACTGATGTCCATATGCTTATACGATCAGTTGTGTGTGCACAGAACCACGCAAATTTGGTGCGAATTTCGTGGCATCAAAGTAATCCGAAAGGGTTAATCAGCTTGCGTCCACGCGTGCCGATGTAGAAACGCTGCTGGCTTTGGTTTGGTGTGCCTGATGCTGCTATCTCCGCTCCCGCTGATGCTGCTGCAACAGTACCCTTGCCTAACTTTAGTATGGCCGATTCTTTATATGCAGTGTCTGTTGTTTGATCCTCCTGTTGTTGCTCTGTGCATCTTCTGCTATAATTCTTCCGGTCTCACGCAGGGGGTGGTGATAACACAGAAGCATACCTTACTGGTGTCAGTGCGGCTGCTGTGCAGAGATGCTTGGCACCAAGGGCCACTTGATCGTCCTCGAACGGGACACGAAAAGGCTTGCAGCAATGCTGCGCAGGTTGCAACAGGAGGCAGCCCTCCGGGGGCCTTATCTGTCTCCTTGCTGCAAGCAGGAGCGTGCAGCCAGCAACAATAGGAGTAAACATCCAGGCAAAGCCAGAAGCGATAGCAATAGGGAAGAGTTCCTGTGGCTTGCGGAACTAGCAGGGAAACGTCCTCTGTACTTTGCTCGCTCTAGTGAGCTGCCCGGATCAGCAGCAGTAGACGCACCAGCAGCGCCAGCAGCAGCAAGCTACCCAAAGCTAGCCGCAGCTCTTCCGATGCTCCTGGTCGAGGTAAGGCGAGCAGACTTCGCTGCTGTCGATGGAAAGGTTCCGCCCTTCTGCTGCGCACAGAAAATTGTCTTGGACCCTTCATGCTCGGGCAGTGGCCTTCCCATACATGCAGCAACAGCAACAGCAATACCAGCAACAGCCCGTGAGCCCTGCGGTAAAAACGGTGCCCGATGCCTACGTGCAGTCGCTGCCGGCACTAAGGCGAGAACTTGTGATCCTGTTGCGTCTGCTAGTACTGTTGTTGCTGCTGTTTCTGCGAGTTCTGTTGAAAATGATCCGCCTGATTTACTGAGGTGGAGCTGGGAGGGGTGGAAATACAGGTCCAGCGTCTGCAGCCCATCTGAGGGCCTTCCGTTGGATGGACGCCCTGCAGAATCATTTGATGGACCGCTGCCTGGCGTGGTTCCATCGGAATGCGGAGAGAAAAGGGTTGTGCGCCTTGCTGCAATGCAGCAAAAGCTGCTGCTGCATGCACTCACAGCCTTTCCTGCTGCCTGTCTCGTTTGCTACTCAACTTGCTCATTGTATGTGCACGAGAATGAGGCCGTTCTGCTTGGCGTGGGACTGCAGCAGCCGCAGCAGCAGACTCAGCGACGGGAGGGGCAGACGTCGCAGCAACAGGAGCGACAGAACACTGCTCTTCAGGGCTGGCACGTCTTCCGTCCGTCCCTCCACCCAGGATGGTTTGTGCCTGCTGCGGCTGTTTTAGAGTTGCGGCAACAAATTAGAAGCAGCAGTAGCAGAAGTACTGAGAAACTGGAGAAGGCTCTTGAGTCCTTTGGTTCTCTCTGTGTGAGGGCGTCCTTCCAAACTCACAAGTGCAGAGGCTTCTTTTTGGCTACAGTGCGCCGCAGCTCTCCTTCACTGGGAGCACCGACAGCAGCAGCAATTACTGCGGCTGGGAAAACAGCAGCAGGGATTGGTGGTGGCAAGACTCGTAAGAGAAAGAAGGAAGCAAACGAACTTGTGGCTACTGTTTCGTCAGTGGAAGCCACTAAAACCAACAAAAAGCGCAAAATACGCGGTTGCACTAAGGCGGGCATCCGTATCTAGGGTTTCTCGTTGTTTCAATTATCATTGATTTGCGATTTTTGGCGTAGAAAGGAAGCAGGGGCATATCTGCTGAGGGCCCCAAAGGTTCCTTTCAGTGGCACGCAGTGAAAGCTGTACTCTTGTAAAATGCGCAGCACGGGAAGAATCAGCCGTTGGTGTTTGCGTAACTCTTAGTATATGTGGAAGCCCACTGATATTGACTGGAGACTCTTCGGAAATAACGCTTTTTGGAGTGTCGTCTTTTGTGGACCTGACAGAGCAATTCTATCGGATGTCTGCGGAAATTCTCGAAGTGTCTCATGGCTTGATAGACGGGAATGGCAGGGAAGGCTTTACTTTATAGTTAATGCCTTGGGGCCACACACGTGTTTTAGGGGCCCTAGGATGTGCCGTATGGTGCACGCATTCGGAGGCGCTGCGCTAGCGGCCAGTATTATAATGCTGCGGCTACAGAACGCTTCAGTGTCCATGCTTATATGTTATAACATCATGAATTGTACCATTAATGGAATCTGTGTGCCAGAGAATGCAAGCCCTGTACGTTTGCCTTGTACTTGGGGCTGTGTAGTTTCAAAAAGTCGTCCGCGCTTGCGACATGTGTCGACAAAACACCTGTCAACCTGTCACTTTTCTCCACATTTCTTTGATTTTGCATGTTTAAAAAAATGGTAAGTAACTTTCCAATTATCATGCACACTCAGGGCTCCTAGCAACTTCACTTAACTCCGTCGTTGCTGTAAATCGGCTTCACGAGGGGGCCCTGGGGGCCCCCCTTCGTCAACCTGGGCCTTTGTTGGCGTCTTTTATCTGCCCTTTATATAATTATGAAGGGGTTTTCAGTGGAACCTGGTGTTTCCAGGGGCAGTTCAGATCAAAAAAGGACAGACTGTTCGTCAGCAAATATACCCGAACCGGGCCTCTTGGCTGGGAATGCTTCCTTGGGAGCGCTCCAGTGGCCTGCAAAGTCGCCACCTCTACTGGGCGCCCATGATCCCACAAACACCAAGAAAGTCTGCGTGCTCCTATCATCAGAGGCACAATTCTTCAGCACAAGTGGGAAGGGGGAGAGAGAGTTCATTGCCGATGCTGGCGTGTCTCTCTTTTCCCTTTTAGCTATGCACAGGGCAGCACAAAGCAGCGGATGTGCACTGGAGTTTGTGACGTTTTCGGGCAGTCCTCCCCCCGTGGCTTCTTTTGGTACCCTTGAGGATTTGAGAGTTTTTTTGTCGAAGGAGAAAGAGGAATGCGCTGATCTGCTGCTACAGCAACTGCAACGGCCGCAGCAACTGAGGAAGGCAACAGCAGCAGACTATTGTTGCCTGCTTCTGCCACACCATTTGGGAGCCGCAATAGACCTTTATAGCAGCAGCAATACAGGAGCCCTCATTAAAGAGTTTGGGGCCATGAACAAGCCTGTTGGGGCAGTTGGCTACGGCGCATTTGCCCTTTGCGCCAAGCCACTAACTGGTAAACACCGTGGTTAAGACTCATAAGGGCGCAGTGCCTAGGCTTCAGGAGATACGTAGTTCCCAAGAGCCTCGTGCTGCCGGTGGCAAATCACAAAGCCTTGGCGCTACAACCATGATTTGAAGTATGTCGTCTGTTGCTGCAGAATCTGAGAGCTTTCCACTGGCCGGCCGTTTAGTCTCTACAGTTCCATTAGCTGAAGAGGCTCGGTGAGCAACATTCTTTGTGCCGCTGCGACTGCCGCCATTGTTCCTGCTCCTTTTGTTGCTTCTGCCTCGTACAAAAGCATCCACGCGTGTTTTCTCTTATTTTGCCAAGTGAAAAACAAGAAGGATTTGGAGGAGCCCTCCCTGCAGCTTGGGAAGCCGCCTTCTTGCCTGTGATACAGCGAAGCCTCTCACTTCTGCCTGCTTGTGCTGATCCTTATTTGTTTGCAATTTGCTCCGTAGATACCCATACTTCGGGCTTCTGCCGTTTCACCTGGAGCTACACTTTGCTGCTGAAGGGGCCCGCACAGCGGCGGGTCCCACAGGAGCTCCAGGGCTCGTCGTAGATGGTCAGCTTGTCTCAACTGGAAGCGAAGCATCCACAGAATTCCTTCTTAAAACGCTTCTACTGCTCTCCTCAGTGCAGCAGCAGCAAAATCAGCAACAGCAGAACTAAAAAAGTGAGGCAGAGCGGAGGCTATACTTTTTCGTCCGTTTGTTCTTTTCTCGCGCTGCTTTATCTGCCGTATCATAACACCCGCGGGCCCACTTTGTCCTCTGTAGGTTTAGATATTAGGCACGACACGCTGGATTTTGAGACATCGGGCTTGTAGCTTAGCGCATGCGGAAGAACACAGGAATCATCTAAGTCGTTGTCCCCTTCACGTGCTCTGTTTTCCGCCGCTTCTTCGTTGCAGTTCGCTTGTGTCTGCTTCCGCCAGTACCCTCAACCACTGTACTAAGTAGCGCCGCTGTTGTTCAACATGTAGTTAGAGCGTATGTAGCCATGATGGCAAGCCAGTGAAGATGAGCTGAAGCAGTGTCGCAGCCCGTCATGCGTTGCTATCTGTCGTTCCCTAGTTATCTTCCCTCTCGGTTATCTTTTTTGTTATTGCCTGTTTAAAAAGGGCAGAAAGAAGTGAATTGGCACATTGGAGATTGAAAATGAGAGGAAAGAGACGGGCAGAGAGACAAGCAGATACAGCGGAAGATTCGGAGGGACAAGCACGGCGACAAGGCGGACAGACCCAGCATGTCCTTGCCTTCCGCTGTTATTTGTCTGGTGCTGCGTCTTCCGCCTACTCCTTATCTTTTCCTCTATCTTTCTGCGCCTTTCTCTGTGTGAATCTTGACGCAGCTTACAGATTTACACAGCCACTCTCTTCGTCTTGATGGCCTTAACCAGGTGCACCCGGTGCCTTAGCAGCATTTTCTGCTAACGCAGTAGAAGAGCCCGGCAACAGCCCGGCGACCGCAGCATCTGGCGCCTCTGTGGGGACAGCCAAGGGAAGTAAACCTGCTAAACCGTCAGAAACAGAAGTTGTTACTGTTCCACAGCGTGAAGAGAAGACGCTTGCACTAGCAACAGAAGCAGCAAATGCTTGAGATCCACAACACGAACGAAAGCAGCGGGCTCTACAGTATTCACCTTTAATTCTCGTTGTTCAAGTGCGGACTGCCCTAAGCACTGCTCATGCTACATCTGCTGAATTCCTTCTCAAGTGTCTCCGCAATAAACATTATACCGGTCGATTCTCCTGAACCCAAGCGCCAGTCCTAACTTCAAAGTCCGGAACCGGTCCAGACAATTCGCGCTGCGACTCTGCCACTGCAGCAGCACGTGCTTGAGCGCGACAGACGCTGCTGCTGCGGTTGTAGTAGCTGCAGTGACTTTGTCTTTGGGCCATTCCGCGCAGCACTTGCTGCTGCTGTTGCTGACAGAGCAGCAATTGGTGCTGGTGCTGCAGCATTCCCTTTTGTGCTAAATTGAACTTTCACTGACATATCAGACGCTAAGCCCCCAAAAGAGCTTTTCAAGTCGGTTTTTAATGCACTCGTCCGGATAGAATACTCTTGCTTCCTGCCGCGTATCACAGAAGCCATCGCCTACTTCTTCCGCTGCTGCACTTAAGGCTGCTGCTGCTGCACGTTGGGCAACGACAGCAGCACCTTCTTTCGCAGGACGCAGTCTTGCACTGGCTCCCCTGCTCAAGGCAGCAGTTGCTGCTGCTGCTACCGCGCGGGCTGCTGCAACCGCTTCCTGACTCTGCTGCTGGCTGCTGCTTGTACTGCTGCCGCGCTGCTGCTCCACGCTTGTAGCCCTAAAGCCGCCAATGCTGCCGCCTCCAGCTGCAGTGGGAGAAACAGCAGAGGGGTACGGCATGGAGCCTTGCTGCAGCAGGGATGGCCGGCGAGACGGTCGCGGGGCCTGTACTTGGTCAATGCCACTGATGCCCCTCATAGTGAAAGCATCTGGCGTGGAGTCCCACAAGCTAAGGGTTTCTCTTGAGTTTTCTGCTACCCAGGTGCTGCTGCTGCTGCTGCTGCGCTTGCTGCAGTCGTCTGGACGCCTCATGCTGAAAACCCCATGCAGCTGAGGTGATGAGCCCGCAGTGACTTCGGTGTTCGGGCAAGGCAACCAAAGCCGCTGTTGCTGCGACTGGTGCGGCTTCTGCTGCATAATTATAAATCCCTCCTCGTCATAATTCCAGTTAGGGTCGAGGCAAGGAACGGAAATCCAGACATCTGTTGCAGCTGCAGTGGGCGTTGCGGGTCTTGGTTCCACCCGTCCAAATGCAGTCCCTCTCACTGCTGGGGCACCACCGGCCCTTTCTGCTGCTACTACCCCGTAGCCAACTTCTGCTACACTCCTTTTGTCTGTGGAAGAAAAGTAGGAACTTCGAGATGGTTGCAACTGCAACTGTTGTCTCAGCGTGACTACCTGTTGCCTCTTGCTATCGCAGCTGGACTGCGCGTTGTGTGGGCACCTGCAAACAGTGGTAGCTGCCGCTACTGTTTTGCCGTTGTCTGCATACGGGCTGCCCTCCTCAGCCCTGCAATATCTGCTGACAGTTCCAGAAGCACAACCAGCAGGACTCTGGCCTGTAGTCGTAGCGATATGGGCTGCAGCAGCAGGCAAGGCAATAGCACGAGAACGATATGAAGAACGCGCTGCCTCCATTGTCGTAGAGGGTACTGGGTGCGCAGCTGCGGGCGTCGCCGCAGCAGTGTCACCCCACAATCTGCTGCCGCTGCCGCTGCTGCTCCTGCTGCTGCCACGGTTCCCCCAAGCTGACAGGTGGTGCAGCAGAAGGCGATTGCGGGTCGGTCGAGAGTCTCCGGTCCCCCTGCAAATTGGGCTATCCTTGAGGCTGTTTCCCCTTAGCCATGATGGGAGATTGCTGCTGCTGCTGCATCGGATGCTCCTTAAACGAGTCCACGACTTAGGCCGGCTAAATGAAGCAGAAACCTTGTGAACAGGGGGAGACATGCTCACAGCAGCAGCGGCAGTTGCTGTCGCTGTCGGTAAGCGCGGTGAATTGGCTGGGGCTCTCCGGTGTTGTCGAGAGCTTTTGTGGAGGGATGTTAGTCGCCTGCGGACCCGCTGTAGCATCATCCTTTTGTGCTGCTGCTGCTGCTGCGCAAATGCTATTGCCCTTTTCCCTGTTTCTTGGCCTGCATAAGCGAATGACACGCCAGGCAAAAGGAAGCCCATCAGCAGCTGAAACGGGAATAGAGCAGCTGGCTGTACGTAGGCAAGAAAGTAGAAGGAACAACAACGCCCGCAGAGGTAGCATCGAACAGCAGCAGTAGCAGCGACAGCATATGCAGAAGCACTACCTTGGCGGAAAGAAGAGGGGGTGACCTGGAACTGACTGTCAGATTCCTTTGGCATTCGTAAGAGAGTCCAAACAGCTCGCCTGGTGCTGATGCTGCTTCTTTGGTGCAGTTCTTGCCCCACATAGCCACTGCTTCCTCGGCGGTTACTCCACTTCCAGAGCTTTGCGGCAGACTTGCTGGTAGTGCTGCAGTCAGCTTTGGTATTCACTCGATCAGCAGTGGCAGAAATAGCATTGGGAGAACCGGCCATTGCGGCTGCCGCTGCTGCCGCTGCTGAGTTTCGGAGTTGACCCTTTAGGAGGCCACGCAAAACGTCAATGGACTTTTGTCTGGATGCCTGTGCAATTTGGAGCGTTACTGAGGGCCGTTGCTGCAACTGTGTACCTACTTTACGCTGAGAAGTTCGCAAGCTTCTCCTGCCGCTGCTGCTTCTGCTGTTGCTCTGACTGCGTTGTCGCCTTCTACGGGCTGGAAGGCTTTCCAGGAGCTCTCTGCACACGAGTGATGGCTCCACATCTGACCAAGCAGTGACTGCAGCGGCAGCAGCCTCTTCTGGTTCCTTTGCTGCCGCTCGCTCTTTCTCAATAAGGGAACCAGTAGAATAATAGCGTCGCACTGCAAGGCTGCGCACCTCCTGCATTTGTTGCTGGTGCATCTGCTCTTTTTGCTGCTCTTGCTTTGGCTGTGATTGCTCCTGCTGCTTTTGTTTCCGTTGCTTCTTATTCCATTGCTGCAGCACTGAGCCCATCTTCTTGTGGCGCGGTGTGCGGCATCGAATTACACGCTGAAGCCTTTGTGGCCAGTAAGAGCTGCTACTTCCAGCCCTCTTGAAAGGCTGTTTCTTCATGCCGAATGCGCTTTTGGTTGCTGGTGTTTCTGGGCTCTTGCTACTGCTGCTTTTGGTTTTGTCGGAAGTATTCAAAGTCCCACTATCTCCCTGGACTGAAGACTTCCTGTTTTGACTTTCGCCTCTTTGACCGCTTATTTTGCCACTAGGATTCCCCGTTCCCGTCGCTTTAGATACGTAGCGCTGCTGTTGCTCCAACAGTTGCTGTTTCTCCTGTCTGTGAGAAAGTTGCGGATTCGTGTTGACCACGGCAGCGGGAACAGATTCTCCTGTCGTCAACTTTGCCTCCGTCGCTGCAGCTTCTGTTACTGCTGTTTCTGCCACTGTTAACCCGATGGCTCGGTCGCCTGGCTCTCTTGATGCAGTGTACGCGCAGCATCCACAGCAGGCTGCTGCTTCCAAGCGCAACAGGTAGGGAAGCACTGTTGTCGAGAAAACGCATCTGCTGCACTTTTCCTCCACGCTGAGCACCAAAAGAAGCAGAAGCAACGACAGAACATGAAAAATCATTGAAGCGTTCCGAAAAACTTGAGTCGTGTTAGTTTAGTAGCTGCTTAGCTTGCTGAGCTCCAAACTTTGGTACAGCGTGCTTTTACAAGCTACAGCTGGTTCCAGTCAACCCTGAGGAGCGGCTACTACCTGGGAATCACTGATTGCTTGCTGTCCCTAAGAAGGCACTGCAACTAGCTGATACTTGCTAGAGACGACGATTCACAGGTGAGTGCACTGTCTGGCTGGTTTTATCTATTCGCCAATCGCAGCCATCAGCAAGCAACTAGAAAAAGGATATAGCACCTCAGTGAACGCACCTCAGCACAAGGCAATGAAGCACAGACCATAAGAAAGAAAATGCCACTCCACTGCGCAAAAGCAGTAGCAGCAAAGATGCAGCAGGGGGACCTGGCACCGCTTGCTTTTCTACGAGGCACAGACACGCGAAAATGACGCAGACGAAAACAGAAGTATACACCACAAAAATTAAGAAGGCA